GCCGCGGGGTGCCTGCGCCGCTGGTTGCTTCGCTGGAAGAGCAGGGGCTCTTGCGGGGTCACGGTGCTTCCCCCGGGGTGCTTCCCCCGGGGCAGAGCTCAGCTCGCTGGGGACGTGAAGGCAAGGCTGGGGAGCAGCCCTGGCCGCCCACATGGCCCCACGCCCCAGAGCTGGCACCGGGCCTGGCACCGTCCCCGCCACGGCACAACGCCGGTGTGGGCAGAGGCACCGCCGCGGGCTCCCAGCTCCCTGCACCCTCGGGACCAGCCCAGCGGGTCACCCCACCCCACCCCAAGCTGTCCCCTCCAGCCTGCGTGTCCCTGCGCCATCCCCGGGACACGGCTGGGCCCCCCTGCCACCGTGCCGGCGCGTCTGCGTGGGGCTGCTCGAGCTGGCTCGGCTGCTTGCTGAGATTTATTGTGGCTCCAAGAGCCGGAGGCTGCCAGCCTGATACCATCAGCCCCTTGCACACCAGGGCAGCTTTTATATTAGTTTTCTTTAAACGGAGGATGAGCTTCCCAGGCTGGAGGAAATGTCATTTCTCTGAACGCTTCCATCTCGTGTCGGTTCAGACATCTCCAGGCAGCATCGCAATCACCCTGGAGCCAGGCGAGGGATGGGGATAGGATGCAGAGGCTGGGGCACGTGGGGACAAACGGCTCGGGGACAGGGACCAGTGTTGGGCAGGGCTGGAGGAGAAGATCCAGTGGTGGCAGTGGCCTTGTCTCCCGTCCCCTGCAGCCCCAGGCAGGCGGGCACAGCTGCAGGGGCATGTGGGGAGGGCAGGGGTGCCCGTGGCGCCCAGCTGAGTTACTCACTTGTTGGCTGCCAGGGTGCTGAGGCCAGCTGTGAAATCACGCTGGCGAGAGCACAGCACAGTCCTGAAGGGCTTTGCCTTTCCAGCATGACAAACCCGATTAGATAACAGGGAGCGCGTGAGGAGGAGGAGGAGGAGGAAGGGCAGAGGAGAGCCTGCCTGCACCAGGAACATGATTTTTCTCCCTGCAGCTGACCCAGAAAAGTGCCTTGCAGGGCTGGAGCACATGTGTCCAGCTGGGGACAGTGCCTGGAGCACCCTGCTCCGCTTGCCAGGCACCCATGGGTGCTGCAGCCTTGGGGCCGGGGTGGCAGGATTCCCGCACTGCGTGCTGGTCTCCCCGCTCAGCTGCCGCACGCCGGCATCCCCGCGCCATGCTCACGTGCAGGGGAGACCCCATTAGGGAGGTAATTTCTCAACATGATTCCTCATTTCCCTGCTCTCTGCCGTGGAGACACGCTGACCTTGACAGAAATAGCTGCTTGTGCCTTGGCAGGCAGATCCCAGCCAGAGATCGCTGGGGGCCTGGCATCCCCCTCCCCACCCCACACAACTCTGGGGGCCCCCAAGTCCCGTCCACCCCCCTGGGGCTCACCGTTCTGCCCCCCTGCTGTGGGGAGCCCCATGGGAGCAAGGTGCTGGCCCCCAGCATCCTCACCTCAGCTCATGCCAGCCCACCCACAAGCACTCGGGGCACGAGGACCAGCCCCATGCTCTCCCGGTCCCCCATCCCTGCCTCTGCCAGACCACTGTGCCAGCCTCCGGCTGATCCCAGCTCACGCAGGTATTTCCGCAGCTTACACGGCTCCCCATGGTATTTAGCCTCTGGAAGACGACGTTAAACATTGCAAGCAGCGACAAATCCTGATTGCTCCGAGGAGACAAGAGGCCGCACTAAGCTTCCAGCCAAACGTTTGCATGCAAGGGAAACGAGCTGCGGCACGTGCAGTGCTGGCGGGTCCTGCTCCTGCATGCCCAGGACACCCAGCCCTGCTCCCACATCCCCGCTGGGACATGCAGCTGGCAGGCAGGCCCTGGGTATGGGCATACCATGCGGAAGCGAGCATCCCAGCATAGAGACACCCCTGAGACCAGTCATCACTGGGGCGGGATGGGGATGGGGACAGGGATGGGAAGACACCAGCATGCTGCTCACCCTGGGCTTGGCGTGGATGCCAGTACAGGGGTAACCTTGAGGGTGATCTCCAGGTACCCCAGCCCAGAGAGCAAATCAGCATGGGCAGGGCTGTGGTATAAAGGAAAGCAACCTCCAAAACTGGAAATGCTGCTTCCTGAGTGAGTGCAGGCAGCTGGAGGCACAGGGATGCCCCTGGCCAGGAGACATGGTGCAGGAGCTGGGGCCAAACTGGGACGACACTGGCAGAGCTGGGACAAGAGCATGCCCATGCATGCTGCCCCCCGCTCTGCTTCTGCCCCCCGCCTGGCTCTGCCAGAGCCCCCTGCCACATCCCCAGCAGCCCGCTCCCCCCGCGCGGTGCGGCCAGGCCCCGCCTGGGTGCCTTGGGAGGGAAGCCACAGCACTGATGCCAGCATTGCAACTGCCCGGGATATGAGATCCGCTTGGATTCAGCAATTTCAACTCATTTCAAGCCCGATTCTGCAGCAATTTTCTGAGCCAGTGGGATGTTTTCACCTCTGCAAACGTCCCCTCTCACGCATGGTCGCACCATTTCCCTTCCCTGCTCCCAGGAGGGGTTGGGGAACGGTGCCAGTTTGGCTCAACCCCAGCTCCAGCAGCGGTACAACCATCCCCCACACCGGCAGCCCCTCGGCACAG